ACGAACCATTCAGCCAGCAGCAGCAACAGCATCCCTCACATTCCACCTCTGCTACTGCTGCTGCTGGCTGGTCATCTCCGCGCGCCTACACCTTCGATCCACCGTCGTCGAAATCGACGATGAACATAGGAGGGAGGGGACCTGTCTCTGCCTTTCCGTCTTCGCCAGTCGGGCCAACAACTGCTCATCAACAGCTTTGTTGTGTCTCCATTGCCGCCGCCGTCGTCGTCGTCGTTTGTCGCGACCGCGGGCGGCTACTCCTTTCGGTTCCTGTCACCACTACATACACTAGTATTCACTATACTAGTTTGAATGAATTGGTGTAGTAGTGTGTGCCCGACAAAAAAATAAACCTGTGTCCAGCTACACACACCCTAAATCTGTAAAGTATTTCATCGGTAGGGTGGTAGGGGGTTGTGGACCGGTGGGGTGTGTTGATTTTCCACTTTTGTTCAACTTTTACTGGGAAGCTTTTCCTTCGGGATGATTGCGAGTTGCTGCCATGTCGCACTTCGCACTACTTTGAATGGCGACATGCAAAGTAGTGTTGCCAGAATGTTGGTAATCGTAATGTATTCAAATGTTGGGTATTTTAAAGTATTGTGGGACACACGACATCCGACGTGAAAATTAACATTAACGACTGTACACTGTACACAAATATCATCCTCAGATCATTCAAATCGAAATCGGTTTTTCGAATGAGCTGCAACTGGATGACGGTTGTTTTGGAATCAGATTATTTTTCTCTCGAATACAGGATACACATTTCTATTATAAGCGCTAGAGCCTTCCGTTGAAATGCGTAATGCTCTCTGCAGAATGATTGTTATCCTAAATTAAAATGCATATCTCGAGTAACATTTGAAATGGGCCTATGTCCAAAACGTAAACAAATCGGGTTTTGATACCATTATTTAGCACCGCTTGATAGCTACTAGACGTGTAGGAAAGTTCCGCATAATCGAGAAAAATCATTAAAAATAACTCGATTTTCGAAACGGCCGATCAACGAAATTTTTCAATTCATTGATAGGCCCGCACGCTAAAACGGCCAACCATTCATTTATTTCATTTCATTGATAGGCCTAGTGACGTAGAGGGCCAATGATTGAACATTTTCAAAACAAAGCTAGGCCCTACTGCTTGAGGCAGGGCCGATGATTTGTTTTGAATTTATTTGACGTTGCGAAAAGGCTTAGCAAAGGGCGTACCAGTTCTGATGACAAGCACAACGGCTTAACAAAAAGGGCCTATCCATTGAAAGATTCACAAAAAGGCTTATTAATTTATGAAATTAAATTGTTATCGATTTTCATATATTTTTGAAAGGTTTTCGCATATTTTTGATGTTGTATGCTGAGATACAGTTACTATTGTTATTGTGAACAATATAAATGCCTAAAATACTTCAATGTTCTTAAATATGAATTGAATAGTAGCGGACAAATTTAAAATTCATTTTCTGGTTTGTTTACGTTTTGGACATAGGCTCATTTCAAATGTTACTCTAGAGATGGTATTGGTTCAGCCCTATAACGCAAATCATTCAAAACGATGATGTTATATAATTCTATCGAAAGTCATTTACTGATATGAGCAGACAAACGAGGTGAAAGCATACCCGAGCTGAAGATCAAATTGAAATCAAAATTTGCTGTTATGATGTAACTTATTTTGAATACTCCAGTTGATCTCATTTTGGTTGACTTAACGGTTAACACAGCAAAAATGAGAGCAAAATTTTGCACTGTTGAAGCAAACGGAAAACTAATCCTGCTTTCAATGAAATCAATTTGATTACTGATTTTGCATTCATAATGTTTAACTGAATACGGGCCTAGAGTAAATGGTTACCATTCATGTTTCTCAAGCTGAAAGACTTAGGCTCCAATCTCACCACGGGCAAGTCACGAATGACCTAAAATGTGTTAAACAAATCAGATAAACGATAATCATAAGTTCAACGACAGATGAATTTCAATTAAATTTTAAACAAGACGTAAACAGCAGAACTTCAAGTTAAGTTGCTTTCATTTAAAACGTCTTGACTGCATAATGAAAGCACAATATGATATCAGACTTATGTCGCAACATTTGAAATCAAAATGAGTTTTCATTATGATAGGAACTGCACACTTTAATATCGATTTGCTTTCATTTTGTTAACCGACTTTGCTCGGGTAGCCATCGCTATCAGAGCTGGTACGAACATGGGTAAAGCATGAAAACCAAAGTTTGTATAATTCGTGGTGGTGGAAGTTTCCTCTACCAACGAAAAATGTTAGTATCCATAATGGAATTGCTGATCATGGCTATTCAGTATGGAAATGTAAATAATTGAAGTATAAAAAGAATTTAAGGTTCTTGAATGTCACACTATTCTTAAATTTGTGTCCTCTGAGCGCTGTATTTTACAGCCAATTTTCTAATAAAATTCATCCTTTATTTGGATAACAGTCATATGGATGCTCTTCATCTGACGACGAATTCGACCGTCAATCAATCATCCGAAATTCGAATGCATATTGTTAAAGGGCTCGAGCAATGCAATAATCATTCGAAGTATTGCGGATGTTTTTGTTCAATGCAGTCAGCTTAGCGACTTCCAACGTCATTAGATACATTATGAAGACCAGTGATGCCAGCGAGAAATGTTGCTACGATTTTAAGTCGTACGCACAATACAATCAACAATCAATAGGAAACTAACGATATTTGATTGCCTCATCTCTCCAATTATTGACGACCCTATTGGTCCCAACTACTTAATCTACACTCTTATTTCAATTCTTCTCAGTGACTCACATAAATTTTACTTAAATGCAGTTAAAAAAGAGCATGTACTCGATCACCGAGTAAACTCCTTTTTGAACTGCAACTGAGTATAACCAACAATCAATACGAAACTATCGATTTGAAATTGACTTGATTCGCTATGAAAGTTTGACAGATAAAATGAGGGGTTAGTCGATTTTCCTATGTTTAGAGGGGTGAATAGATTAGCTTGGGACCGAAGATAGTACAAGAGCTGAGCCAAAAAGTTGATCACGTTTCTTCGGGACCTATTAGTCTTAGAGTTACCTCTATGGTATAACTTTCCCGTAAGAGAAAAAGAGAGGGCAATAAAATCCGACTCACTCACTGAGTATAATTGAAATAGATGGGATGGATATCCCCAGAACTGTTATGTGATCTGTTATTATTACTTTTGCATCTATCAGCTCGTTTGTGTGAACAGTGGTACTTGTAGAAATCGATGCAGCGAAGGAGACGTTGACAACAATAAGACAAAATGCTTGTAATCCGTGCAATAGGTTGAAAATATATAACCAAAATCGTTGGATGGAGAAGCAAAATCCTTTTTTTGTTTGCTGTTTTCCAGTGTTAAAATATTGTGCGAAAACAAACAGTTGGATAAAATTACTTTAATGTTGGCCTATGGATCTAATATTGGGCCCATCGCTAAGAATCTGCAATCAATTTTATCAAGATGAACGCTTCATTGGGACGGTACTAATTGATATTTTTGCGCAGTATGTATGGGCCCAAATTAGCGACATTTAGGCCGACATTACATCCATTTCCACCATATCAGATATCTGCCCGAACAGCTATCCTTGTATATTATTACTCGTACAGTTGAAAACCGGAATAACCCACTAGCGACAATCGATTTTACTATCGTCCAGTAAGTTCAATGGTGTCGGAAGTAGTGCGCTGTAATCGAACAATGATGCGCTATACAGCGTACTACTTCCAACACTATGTTGAGCATAATATAAATATCTGAGATCTTTGCTGCGGGTTGGTGGTCAAATAGTCAAGATTATTGAAAAGTAATTTTACTAAAATTGCCCAATCTTCATACAGACTCTGCCAATCTAGCGTAAAATTGCATCGATACCAATCATACTTTAAGTGCTTAAGGGGGATTTCCGGTTCAATATTTTCAAAAAAATCGATTTTTTTTGCATGAAATCAAAGCTAAACATGTCTAGAATATGTGGGTAAAGCAAATATTTACGTCGCTACAGGCCTTTGAGTGCATCGACCTCCCGAGCGGTATGGGTCGCGCAGGTATAAGAAAAAATGTTTCGCAAACTTTAAACGCGTTTTTCTCGAAACTGCATTTTTCAAAACTGCGAGCACTCTAGCTTTTGAACGGTTCAACCAATTGACTTCGTTCTTTGCTTCCCTTATTGAAAACACTTTTCTTCATGGAATGAACTTTAGACTCAAGGAGAAATGTGCAATTTTCGATTTTTCACAGCCTGTCAAAGTCAAAAAATCGACCGAAAAAAACGACTTTTTTTCAAATGCCCGCCATTTTGTCAAATTTCATTCCATTCTCTGAACTATACTCTTCAAGAAACTGAGCCGATTTTCTTTCTAGGTGACGATTTGCGACCTCTAGGCTGCTCGCAGTTTTGGGAAGTACCCGCCGGGCAGCCGCCATATTGGACGCCATTTTGAATTTTTGGACTTGAAAAAATTCCCAGTTGTAGAGCAAGAATGAATAAAGATTTGACAAAAAAAAACTCAGGTCTCTAACTCTTACCAGTTTCCTGGAAAAAAAAATCCAAAGTTTAGGTCAATTGAACCGGAAATCCCCCTTAAAGGGCTTTGCCAACTAATATACAAAAGACTTCCAATCAAAGGATCAAAATGCACAAAATCAAAAGAAAGCATAAGTTTCAGTAGGATCATAATAAGCCAGGAAAAGAAGAAGATATAATCATGGGACATGCTTTTAACGTCATTAATATAGCATTGTGGGCAATGTGTCATGTGCTCTTCCCATCATCAGTGGCAACACTGATCTCCCAGTCGTTAGTAAACACTCAAACAACTAGATTCTCCCCAATACACGTCAAGTTTCTGTGACTAAAAAAAAAAATAACGACAAAAAACCGAATATTTACGAATGGCGACGACGAACGGCGGTGGACGCGAACAAACCGCAGCATGAGTACGAGTGAACTTCAAATCCGGCTCGCTCCATTCTGCTACACTACTAGAGGGTGACGGTCGGTCGCTCGCTGCCAGTGTTGATTGACAGAGGCCATCTCTCGGCGAAGTGAGACGTGTTTTTTTTTTGTGTTGCTCAACCGAAGAAAAGTAAAATAAATTTGCGTGATTTATCGAAGGTGTGTGGAAAATTCGCATTTTTCCGCCGGTACCAGGAAGGAATATCTGCACCAACGTAGTGCGGTTTCGAATATTTTCGGTGGTTCTAAAAACAGAAGGAAGGCATTGGTTTTTGGGGATACACACAGAGAGTGTGCCTGGTGTGGATTGGTTCCCCCCGTCCCAGTTTATGGCGAATGTGAATTTTTCTTGAATTCGAAATCTACCGACTCCGGGGCCTCTGCCCGTGTGTGTGTGTATATTTTCGTGAAGAGTGAACCGTGAATTGCGCACGTGCCCGTGTGTGAGTGTGTCTGCTCACGGTAAAGACGAATAAGCCGAGAAAGAAAAATAAAAGAATAATATATGTACACCGGAGTGGAGCGATAGGCAGGCTATTTGAAAAAAAAAGCGAAGAAGTGGAAAAAGTTGTGGATTTCTCGTTTCGTTTTCCGATCGGCACATTTTTGTGATTGGAATTTCGTATTTATCTCTATTTCGCGCAGTTCATGTGATTTTATTTTTCTTGTGCGTTTCGCAGCTTCGGCCAGTTTGGGGGAAAGTTTTTCCTAGCAGCCAGCCAAAACACGGTGTGTGTGAAAATTGGAATCGATATACAACCGAAGGAAAATAGAGGTGTGAGCGGAGAGAAAGTGTAAATAATAGCCGGAGTAGAAAAAAAAACGTGGAAAATTAAGAAAACAAAATTTGCGAAAACAAACAAAAATACACGTTGGGAAGTTCGCAGCATCACCCAGGGTCCATCCAGCAGTTACAGCAGGTTGTGCTGTTTTTGCAAAGTTCCGTGCGGTGAACGAGAGAAAAGGAGAGAGAGAGAGAGAGGGACCGTCTAGGGAGGAGGATTCGGTAGTAACTAGGAGGTACTACTCAACTTGCAGCAGCGACACAGCGCGCAATAATATTTCCGGAGGGGAGCGTCCAAAAGCTAATGTTTAAATGGACGCAACATCCATCATTACGCAAGTATCGCGCGATGACGAGCAGCAACTGAATAGTAGCTATCCAGGCGAAAAAGGTAGGTGTTATTAAACAAGAAGATTAGTGCTAAATATGGCAATTAAATTTCCAATCCTAGGCTACTTTAAATAAATGTGGCCGGGTGTATTAAAGGTTGAACACGAACAAATCCGTACACATTAAAATCGCTGTCATTAAGTAATTTTTTTTTTCAAAATTTGACTGAATCAAGCTAAGAGTGTATAGAATCACAGTAGGCATAGGTTTTCAGGGTAAGTTCATTTGTTTACATCGCGATTCGATCCTGCACGCTCGAAACAAAAATCCTGGTCTACCCGCTCCTGGCAGTTTTCGATCAAATTCCTGGGCAGGAATCTTATACAATGCGAGGGGTGCGACACATCTAAATCTCGATTTTAAATGATCGAAAAATCTCACACTAGCGAATCAATCTACGAAAAATCTTTTTTCATCTCTTGCATCTAAACCCATCTACTTGCATCGATCTCTACCTTTAAGCAGGAAATCTTCAAAATTATAATCAATCGTGTTTCTATCTATTTAGCGCGAGTGCATCTCACAACAGCAAAGCAAAAAATTTCCTGCATCTTAGATAGAGTCGCCCCCCTCGATACAATGTATCTCAAAATTGATCGTACACCCTAGAATATTTTTTTAAACATGGTGATTAGACAAGGGGTAATCAACTCTGCACATTGTGCCGAAACACATCGTGGCACACGATGACAAGTATGAGCCAAATTATAATATAAAATGGCATCACTGCTCTGTGTTAAAATTTTGCCAATCGTTGCTAAGGTTTGCTTTTTCGTGTACTTCAAAGTAAGGGGAAATGGATTTTTTTTGTCAGTGCCATTTTCCAGCGAAATTTCCCCTAATCATAATAAGAGATTGTATAATTGACGAGACGCTCTTTGTCCTTATGCCTTCTGAGGGATGAACCTCTACAGAAAGTTCACACGGTTTTTGAGAGATGTCCATAGTTTCAGGGAAGTCCAAACGAACTAGTCAGAGTCACCACGCCCCACAGAATAGGCCAGAACTAACTAGAATTAAGTATTAACTAGATGGCCGTAGGATCCAGACCGAGAGTCAATTGTATGGGTAAGGAGCATTGCAGCGATAATGTACGGTGTCAACAACACCCCGGTGCCGAACGATCCTACCATTCTTCAGATGTATCTGCAATCGCAGATGTTTCTCCCGCAGAACACCCCGGTACGATTGATGATTCACCAATCAGTCAACTGTACAGCTCATTCTATGGACTGAACTCGGATTCGATTGACTGTTGTAACAAGTACGCTTTTCATTTATTTAGTTAGTTATTTATTTGTATAGAATTAATATTTATACAATTTACTTATTTAATCAAATTGCATGAAGTTGCGATTTTACCATTAAATTCGTATATTTGTTCCCCGTCAAGGAATGTCCACTCATGTGACCCGAATGCGCTATCTGTCGTTAAAGTCCGAGGTTCGAATCCGAACCGTTCTCTCTTATAAAAGAGTAACCGAAAATAGATTGGAGCAAGATAGTATACTGAAATTGCATGACAAGGAAAGAGATGTAGCATTGAATGTTCTTCAGAGAAAGATGATGAGAATTGTCGTTTGAAAGGTCGTTGAATTACTTCGGTAATTTGACGTACTTCCGGCCACGATGACCGTTGAAATCACGCCTATCTGAGGGTATCTGGAACTTCCACTCGTTCACTTTGACTTGAACCGTGGAAGAGGCGGGAGTGCGAGTAATTAGTACTTAAGTGTACTTAGTGTCGCGGTGTGTTTTTCGTACAAAGTGTGTAGAAAGCCGTTCGACGGCTTTTTGTGCAGGATCGGTTTTGTGTTGAAGTTTGCACCACATACATGGCTTTGCTCGGCACACCGCACCCATGAGATTTGATTGCACTCTCTAGACCCCACGCTTCAGTGTCAAGGTTCCCGGTTTGGGGAAGAATCCGGAAGGGAGACACCGTGACCCTGTTCTCCGACAGAGCGTTGGCCAAATCTGCAAATATCCACCACGTGAACGCACGTGCTGTATTCATAGCCGACGACCCCCTCGTCGATATTTGCGCCACCGGCAATCGGAGTTACTTCAGTACCAACTCGAAGATCGATTGGGAATATCTGCATCACACCAGTCCGGGGTGCAATGCGCAACACCGCCAATGCTGAATAGGGTGCTACTTTGCCGACCTCACTTCGACAAAGGGATGCTACTTTGCCAACGCAGGTAAAACAGCGACGACATCGATGGTACCGTGAGTAAACAAACGCATGCAAATCTCCTCACACACAAACACATGAGCTCGAAGACAAGACCAGGATAGGCTAAAGGGTGATACGGTCAAAATTTGGTCAATATCAACTTGACGTATTTCTTTCAATTTTGCATTTAAAAAACCTGAACACCCCTCATTTTGAAGGTGTGTGTGTGTAGAATGTTGCTCCTATTTTGATTTTGGAATTCACTCTTCAGTTGTCAAAATGCCGTCCAAGCAAGAAGAGCAGCGTATCAAAATTTTGCTCGCGCATCGCGAAAATCCGAGCTACTCGCACGCAAAGTTGGCAAAATCGCTAAAAGTTGCCAAATCAACCGTTACAAATGTAATTAAAGTGTTTGGGGAACGTTTGTCGACAGCCAGGAAGTCTGGATCGGGGGGAAATCGAAAACCGGAAGCCGCTGAGACGACAAAGAGAGTTGCCGGTAGTTTCAAGCGAAACCCTAACCTCTCTCTCCGAGATGCCGCAAATAAGCTGGGTGTATCGTCTACAACCGTGCATCGAGCCAAAAAACGAGCCGGACTATCGACTTACAAGAAGGTAGTGACTCCAAATCGCGATTATAAACAAAATACGACGGCCAAAGCGCGATCCCGGAGGCTGTACACGACGATGCTGACGAAGTTTGACTGCGTGGTAATGGACGACGAAACCTACGTCAAAGCCGACTACAAGCAGCTTCCGGGACAGGAGTTTTATACGGCAAAAGGAAGGGGAAAGGTAGCAGATGTTTTCAAGCACATGAAACTGTCAAAGTTCGCAAAGAAATATCTGGTTTGGCAAGCCATCTGTACCTGTGGCTTGAAAAGCAGCATTTCCATAGCTTCCGGGACTGTCAACCAAGAAATTTACGTGAAAGAGTGTTTGAATAAACGTCTGCTGCCTTTTCTGAAGAAACACGGTTGTTCCGTACTGTTTTGGCCGGATTTGGCATCTTGCCATTACGGTAAAAAGGCCATGGAGTGGTACGCCGCCAACAACGTGCAGGTGGTTCCCAAGGACAAGAACCCTCCCAACACGCCAGAGCTCCGCCCAATTGAGAAATACTGGGCTATTGTCAAGCGGAACCTAAAGAAGACCAAAAAAACTGCTAAGGGCGAGCAGCAGTTCAAGGCAAACTGGCTTTCTGCGGCGAAGAAGGTGGACAAGGTGGCTGTACAAAATCTGATGGCAAGGGTCAAGCGTAAGGCCCGGCAATTCGGATTTGGAAAAGCGGAATTCTAACTGAATATTTTTCCTGAATTTTATACTAATTGAACTTGAAAAAGAAATTTAATTTGATTTTTTAAATAAACGATTTCACCGATTTACACACGTTTTCCCTTGACCAAATTTTGACCGTATCACCCTTTAGCAATCGCTAGAACTAGTTTAGGCAACCGCACACACAATTAGGGAGAGATATCAAGCAAAACAACAAATGGGAAAGGAACAAATGCTATGAATAAACCTAGGTTAGAAACACTAATAAATAAGAGAATGATTTCCTTTATTTGGCACTGAAATAAATATTGATCCGTGAAATTAAAGCTTTCCCAGTAATGTTAATTTTGTAGCTGAATTTACTCCAGGTTGGACTGCCTGGGAAAACAGTCTCCGCACTCACGGGTCAGGATCGGTAGAAGAAATTTGAAACGGAAGTTCCTCCAGTGATGATGAATGTGAGTGGGGTTGTTGTGTTTCGGTAGAACAACGGTAAGCACCAACTTTCACTTAAGACCGTTTGAAGCGGCCTCTATCTGTGAGGATCTCAATCCCTCCTGGGATTTCAGTCTACTGGATTGCCCTAACCTAAATTTCGGTCCCTTTTATACATAAACCCACACACTAAACCTAGACGAGTGGTCCTCTTCGGAGGTGGCGCTTAAGCCACGCGTTATCGAGACAGGAAGCGCATTCAGTGGTTAAAATCTCACAGGTAGCGGGCGTGCGTTACACTGTGGAGGTCTCTCTACGCTCTATTCATATCACCGACGGCAACAGCAACATTAAGAAAAATGCTGCTAACAGAATTGTGAAGATAACCACACCGGAGGTAACAGAGCCAATCTGAATCGCGGTCTTAATGAACGCAATCGGAACCGGCAGAAGTTTCAGGGAGATTAATAGGCGATTCTGACATGACCAAGGATAAAAAAATATGAAGGAACAACAGGCAGATACAAGCAACCAGTATCGAGATTCTGGACCGACATTTGCACGAATTTAATAACTAACCACGACTGCTGACACTGGGAAGCTGCTGCCGGTCTACTACCGCCAGTGGGCATTTTAGGTCGAGTTCTTCCTATTTTTCAGATTACAGCATTGCCCGAGTAGCATGATGATATTGCAGACAAGATTTATCTTCCACTTGCCGGTTGGATACTTGGTTTCGGCAAACTTCAGTCAGAATGGCGCACGGTAGAGAACTTTCTTCTCCTGGGTGGACAGCTTCTGCCATCAGTCACCCTTCTCCTTCTCGCGGAGGGGCTAATCTTCGAGTGTCATTTTCTTGAAGCGGATGACCGGCAACCAGCTCGTTGAATATTATATTGGAATTAAGAACACAATCTCAAAAGTCATAAGTGCAGGGTTTCCAAACTCATGGGTTTCTGAGACTGTTAGCTTGATTGCCACACTTCGGCACGTTCGGCACAACGCTTGACCTAGTTTTCGGCACAGATAAAGTACTCGGCACAGATTGGGATGTGCAGAGTTGAACATCCCTTGTGATTAGACGTATTTTTTAAAATCGTGGCTGGTG